CTGGGGCTGGGGCTGGGGCTGGAGCTGGAGGTGGCGGCTGCTGCTTCTCTGCGTGGGGCTGCGGTGCCATGAGCCGCTGGGGTCTGTCGTGGGGCTGGAGCTGGGTTGGCCCCATCCCCCCCAGGCAGCCGGGAGCGGCACTGCCTGGCCTTCATGCAGGGGCATCCGTTGGCCCCACGGGCATCCTGGCAGAGCAGGGTGGGCACATCCCTGTTCCCCGGCAGGGAGAAGTTGCTGGACTGGAAGGACTTCTTGCTGGTAAAGAGCCGGCGCAACGTCACCATGGTGTCATATCCGAGCTGGGCTGGCGGGTGTGGAGGGGCAGGGAGCTCCCCCAGGACACCGTGGGGTTGGGAGAAGCCAGGCGCCCGGGCCTGGAGCCGGCTGCTCTGGGTGGCCTGCCCAGCTCGGGCACCCAGCGCCTGCCGGGGCCATGGAGCAGCCCCTGGGCGCCAAGCCTGGGCTGGGGCTGGCCGTGAGCAGCAGAGGCCTGCGGGCAGGGGGCTCAGGGGCTCTGGGTGGTGGGTGCTGAGCTTCGGGGTGGGGCAGGCTGCTGGTATTTGACCCCACGTGGGCCCGGCCTGGTGCCCCCAGTGGCCTGTCCCCCAAGGGGCTCTGGGTGTCTCAGTGCCAGGAGGGTCTGAGGGGCGCGGGGGCCGCGCGCCTGCCTTGGGCCTGTTGTCTTCGAGCATCCTTAACCCGCCCCACATACCTGGAGGACTTCCCCGGGCTGGTGCACTTCATCTACGTGGACCGCGCGGCTGGGCAGATGGTGGCCCCCTCGCTCAGCGTGGCCGAGAAAGCTGCCTCGGAGCTGGGCCGGGGCGAGCTGCCCGCCTTCATCAAGAGCAAGGTACCGGGTGCGGGGCTGGCAGCCGTGAAGGCAGGGGAGGGGGCAAAGGACCCTTGTGGGGCTCCGCTAGCCTGGCTGGGGCTGGGAGCAGGGCCGGGAGCCGAGGTCTGGGCGGGCGCAGGAACGCAGCGGGCTCCAGCGCCTGCGTCTCCCTAGGTCTGGTCCCTGATCGCGCTGGCACGGCGCTACCTGCAGAAGGGCTACACCACGCTGGTTCTGCGGGACGGCGACTACTACTGCTCCTACTTCCTCTGGTTCGAGAACGAGCTGGTACGTGGCGGGGGCTTCCCTGGGGACCGCTTTGCTCCTGGCAGCCAGGACAGGGAGGGCCAGGACCAGCCCTGCCTGGGGCATCGCAGCCCTCCTGTCCTGCCCCTCACCCCGGCCCCATCCCACCACCGCCAGGGCTACAGGCTGGAGGTGATGGAGGTCCCGGTGCTCTCCGACGACTCTGCTCCCATTGGGATGCTGACGGGCGACTACTACAGGTGAGCCCGAGGCCATTCTGCTCCCGGTGCGAGCCAGGCTGGCCGGGGTGGGGGGAGCCACCGGCGGGGTACCCCTCGCCTCCTGGGGGTGGGGGCTCTGGGACCCACGGGCCTTGCTGGCTGGAGCAGCCTCGGCAGTGGGAGCAGGACACGGGGCTACATCCCCCTTGCTCCGATGCCGGCTGGGAGCCCGCTGCAGAGCCAGCACTTGGACCCAGGTGTCTGGGGCCCCGTCTAACCAGGGAAGGGGGGGCGGGAACCCATACGCAGGCCTGGGGGGAGACGCCACGTGCTGTCCTGGATCTCGGTCTGGCCAGGCAGAGCCCTGAAAGGGGGCAGGGGGTCTGGCACCCACCTGGGGGGCTGCCCTGCTCCCTGACCCATGCGGCCTCCCCCAGGAAGCTGCTGCGCTACTACAGCAAGAACCAGCAGGCCGAGGCGGTGAAGTGCTACGAGCTGCTGACGCTGCACCTGGGCGTCCTGCCCCCCGAGGTGGTGGTGCAGCAGGCTGCCGACCTGGCCCGGCGCCTCTGGGAGCCCTCCCGCATCCCGCTGCTCTGAGCCGGGTCCTGCGGCCGCCGCGGCACCGCACCCCCCCCACGGGCCTGTCCCCGGATCGGGGCCCTCGGCATCCGTCCCGCTGCCCCCAGCCCCACAGACCTCCCCGGCTGCCGGGCCCTGGCGTGGCTGGGGATGGCGGAGACCACGCTGTGCTGGGTGGGTCCATCGGTGCCTTGATTAAAGCTGCTGCAACTGGTCAGTGTGACGTGCCGGCTGGTTTCTCCTCCTCGGGGCCGGGGCTTGGGCCGTGCCAGGCCGCGCTGGGGGGCTGGGCGAAGGCCCCTGCGTCCGGGGGCTGGGACTCGGCTCCCCTTTGACCTGAGCCCTTGTAGCCCGGGGCAGGGCCTGTCCTGGCCGTCAGCGAGGTGCTGGCAGGTGAATGGAAGCAGGATTCGAGCGGCCCAGCCCCAAGGGGCTGCGGCAGGTACCCCTGGACCCTGCGTTCGAGAGGCAGGTGCTGGCAAGGCTGGAGGTGGGCATCCCCTCCCGGCCTCGCTTCCTAGCGCTCCTGCGTGCAGCCCAGCTGCTCCGGGCGCTGGAGCAGGCAGGCGGTGCCTGGAGCCGCAGGCCCGTGACGTCGCCAGCGGCTGGGGGCCGCATCCAGCAGTCGGCCTGTCCGTGCCCAGGCACCGCCTCATGCAAACTGCTGATGAGGAGACAAAGTCCAGCCCTGCGGCCACAGCCCCTGCCTGGAGCAGAGATGGCAGCCAGGCTCGGCCGGAGGCTGGGCACGGCCCACGCCGCCTTGGGGCTGCCGAGCCGGCGCCTGGCGCATCCCGGGGCCCGGGCCCAGCTGCAGCCAGAGTACGACGCCGTGGTGATCGGCGCAGGTAGCGGGGCCGGACCACGTGTGATCCCGGTGCTGCGTTGCCTGCTGGCGAGACTGGCACCAGCTACTGGGGGCGGTGCAGGTGGAGGGTGCAAAACAGTGCCCCAGGGCTCCTCTCACCCCCCCATCTCATTGCAGGGCACAACGGGCTGGTTGCTGTGAGTACCAAGTTGCAAGGCCCCTGCCCTGGGTGCAGCCAGGTCGTGCCTGGCATGGGGGGGAGGCATGGGGGCAGTACTCTGGCTGCAGCGCGTGGGTGGGCAGAGCCCAGGGGGTCTCCGTAGGGCGCCTGCAGGGGAGTGACGTGCAGGTGTGGGTCAAGGGCTTGGGGGTGTCCATGGCGTGTGGGGCAGGGGCGACTCTGGGGTGCCCGGCAGGCCGCCTACCTGCAGAAGTCGGGGGTGCGGACGGCCGTGCTGGAGCGACGCCACGTGTTGGGGGGTGCTGCAGTCACGGAGGAGATCATCCCAGGTACCCCTGGCTCTGCCCTGCTGCCCCAGCCCAGGTGGGGCTCGGCCAAGCGCTGACCCCTGCACCCCCCCCGGCTTCACCTTTCAGGCTTCAAGTTCTCCCGAGCCTCCTACCTGCTCAGCCTGCTGCGGCCGCAGATCTACAAGGACCTGGAGCTGCAGGTACCTCCTGCCTCGGCGCAGCCCTCTGGGGCGAGCGGGTCCCCCTGCATCCGCTGGGCTGTAAGAGCCTGGCACCGCCTCATCTGGGGCCATAATTGCCAGGTGCCCCAATCCTGGGGCGCGACAGCCCCTTGCACCCACAGCCACAACCCCCACTGCCCCCAGCCTGCCCCCTCCCGCTCGGCGGTGACGCAGGTCGCAGCTGTGGTGCCCATCCCTTGCAGAGGCACGGCCTGAGGCTGCACCCCCGCAACCCCTACTCCTTCACCCCCGTGCTGGAGGCCCGGAGCCCCCCGCGCTCGCTCCTGCTGGGGCACAACGTGGCGGAGACGCAGCGCCAAATCGCCCAGTTCTCCCCCCGGGACGCCGAGGTAGGGGAGCGCCGTGGTGGGGAGCCCCCCCCCC